TAACTTGAGAACACTTACATTTTCCTTCCCAATATTTTATGCTTTCCAACACCCGGCTATGGATTGTCCACAGAAAATAGAATATGATTGAAAGTACAGATGTCAATATAAGTAAATAGGGAAGAATGATTGCTTCAACTACAAACACGCCAACGAAAAGAGAGTAATACTGAAAAAATATATATATACAGACCTTATGCACTGTAGATAAAAAATTATAAACATTCGTTTCACATTTAAAGGTAATATAAACTTACTTTAATCAAATGATGAAAAATAAATGGTAATGTATCGTCCATATTACTAATATCTTTAGAAAACCGATTTAAAACTTTTCCTAAAAAATGTAATAATATAAAATATTAAGTAAATTAAAAATGAATGGCCATTTGAAACAAACTGGAGTTTTTGTAGACATTAACAAAGAGAACAGAATATAAGTGGTTGTATTATTGTAAAGATAAATTCATTTTACACTGTTATGTTTATTAATTATGCTCTAAATACTATTTACTACTTGCTTGAAATACATTTTGATCAAAAATTGTTTTAAATTAAAATAAAAGAATTAAGTATATTTCACATACCAACAGGGTTGTTATCCAAAAACGATATTGGAGTTCGAATAATACATTTGAAAAATTTCTTATGGAGTTTAATAGATGCAGTTGTAAACAGATTATTCAATAATATCGCAGAAACTAGCATGGTGAAAAATACTGCACATATCAAACCAAGGTAAACATATATGTGAATTTCTTGATGTTGATGAAAAGTATCACTCATAGTGCTGTTCAAAAGTTTCGTCTTCGATGCAATGTTTTCGATTTTATGCGCACTCTGGTTATAGGATCTTGTATCTTGCAACCTGAAAATCGTATAAGAGATAATCGAAAATTGAAAAATTCCAGAAATTAAAATGTTAGCAGACTTAAATGAGAATAAACTACTTAAACTCAATTAAAAAGATCAGTACTTATTAGTAATATACCGAATTTTCGTCATTATTCGGTAACTGGGTATATTCGCTCAAAAACTATTTGTTATTTTGGATAATATTAAATACAGTAGACCCCTATAAAACGGGTTCCTATAATTACGATTCCTATAAAACTGCGAAAAAATTGCGACGGTATTCGTAAAAAACGGTAAAACTNTTCTAACAGGAAAAGTAACTTTCGTTATCATGGAATTATAACAAAACCTGCCAATTCAATATAAATGGAAAAAAAATATTATATGGAATTGAACGAAAATGAAAATTTGCTTATTAATTCAACTACGCTTGTTGGAGAACAATAAAAACACTACACTCAACAAGCCACCAATAAAACTCAACTGCCTAACCTATTACCAAAGTCTCCTTTTAATTTGTTTTTAAAAAAAAGAGCTTGACAAACTTGCCCCGCATGCCGAAGTTGCCCCGGTCCTCCCTATATTTAACTTTGCTGAAGAAACTGAGTTTCCTAGACACGCTATTTCGTGATCCTGCCTAAAGCAGAGGGACTCAATGGCAAAATTTAGTTTTACACTTTTCATCATCTAATAGCTATTCTTATTCGAATAAAAACGAACTAATTATATTTCATATAATCTTCCTTACTAAATACTGTATATGACGCTTTCTCTACCTTACACAAAGCATTTAGTTTTTTAAAGTTTTTAATGAATCAGCTGATATTTGATCGATCTTTAGATTTTGGAAAATTTAAAAAAAATTTTGTATCTGGCATTTGCCCAAACATTTTTATGTTACTTTTGGATTTTTATTTCGATGCTTGGTTACGTAAATAGAATATTTAGAAATAAAATTAATCATAATGACAGTTCCTAAAGTATTGGTCTATTTAAAATATGTAAATATATTTGACATATATTCAAATCAATGTATCTGAAATATTGGAATGTTTTTATTATTTTTTGTTAAATATTTTCTTAAAGGAAACTAGCTTCTACTCAAAATATTCTAATAAAAGCGTACCATTTAATTAGCCAAAGGTCGCTGGCACTTGTAATGGATTGCGATATAATTAGCATAAGTAATGTAATAATCTTAAAGAAGAAACTCGCTCCGGCATTCAAATATACTTTATATACTGACAATCCTGCTGTTCCAGAGCGTTCGTTGTCACGTGGTATTTGATTTTCTTCAGGTTCCTACAAGAAACAATTTGAAAATTATATAAGCTATTCGTAGTCTTATCTATTTCCAAATATTTTAATATGTGTCTGTAATAGAAATATCCAATATGTAAATTTTTTATTCTAATTCATGCACACATTGATAAGTTATTAAGGTCCACCTGAATACAGTATATGTTACATGTATATGAATAAAATAAAAAGTTAAAAGAACGAATAAGAAATTTCGCAGAAACTATCAACAATATTTCTTATAAAAAAAGGGCACGTGTCCGTTAACTATTCACAATATGAGAATATAGTCATATTATCATATAACACTGCATAATACTGAGAATATTTGGGGTGCCCTTGATCTATTCTTCATAAGAAGTTGTGGTGCAAATGTTTACAAAATATTCACATTATTATTAAGCGACTTAACAAAATTCGAAACTAATACTTACTGTATTAATGTCATCAATATGTTCAATGTCACGATACACATCAACTTGATTACTATTAATTATTTCATCGTGATTGATAAGTGCAGTCTCTAATTCTATGATATCTTCACAGATCTCTTGGTGTGATGAAATTTTTCTTACTATTTCAAAATTTTTCATTTGACTGTAATTGCCAAAGAATTCACATTTTCCCTGAAATTTAATAAGACGCATACATGTAATTATTTCACTTTCAAGTGTTAAAAAGTTAATTAATTAGAATTTCATCAATAACGGTAGCATGATTTCTATATAGTTTTATACATATAAAATTAAGAAAATCCATATAGGTCTATGTCAAAAGCTTGAAGAGTAAAATCAAAAATTTGCTCTAATCGAAAAGTTAGTAGGTTCCCTTATACAATACTTATTTATTTGAATTTTGAATATATCTGAATTTTTCTACTTCAATATTTAAATTTGCCATATGCCTTCAAATATGTATTTTGCTGCAGATCTCTTAACTCTTTGAATTACCTCTTTAATTAACAATAATAACAAAACAGTGAAAATTTTTAATGAAGAAAACGTCGTCATTGCATTCATAAAAATAAATTTTGCTTCTTGTGATAAATAGGGGAGATCGGGGCAAGATCGGCATGTTAAGCTTTACTTAAATTTTGTGTAATAAATACTGCTGTAAACTGAAAAAAAAGCTTTGCAT